GTAGCGAAAGGAATTTTCTTCGGGGTTCCGTGAATCCTCAAGTATTTGAAGGGAAGCCTCAACCAAAAAAACTTACTATACTGTACTATTTTACGCTTTGGTTCTGAGACGTGGTTGGATCTTACTTCCTTAAGAACGACAACGGTGAGATTGTCACTGCCGTTCGGAGCGTTATAGTCGTATGGACACGACTTGAGCAATATGTGGCTTATTGCGAGGGAAATCTCCCATCCGCAGAATCTATCATCTTGGCAATGTTAGTCGGCCACCACCGAGATCGTGTGATTTGACACAGTTGGACCTTCTTCGTCATTTGGGCTGATAAAAAATTTAATTCTTGAGCACTTGAAAACCAACATTCGTCATGAATAATCCTGCGTAAACACAAATGCTGGCAAATACTTTTGACAATACAATTTAATTAAAATATAGACGTTTTCAAAGGTACAAATGCATGCGAGCATAAGACGACATACGTAAGTCTTAAAAAATGAGCTACATTTTGATTTTTAGTGTACGTCTATGTAGATGCCATGGCGTATACACAATCTCATACGTGGTATACTCGTACACAAAGCCATTCATAGAAGATACTTAAGCTAGAAGCATTAACAGTGCGAAACATAGAGAGAAAAAATAAGAGAAAGTATTAAAATGAAATAAAACTAAATACTGCTGGCAGCAGCAATGCAAAAAATATTTCTGATTATTTCTTTTTTTTGTTGGTTTGTCTGCATATTGGCAGATTTATTTAAAAACTTTACGCAAGCAGAGTTACTAAAATGCAAAAAGGTGAAATAAATAATAATAAAAATAATAGCAACAGCAAATTTGTTGCAATTTATGTTTGTAGAGTTTTATTGCAGCATTTGTTGTTGTCACACTTTCATTCAGTTATTTACATTTACATTTTGCAGTTGTGTTTGTTTTTGCTGCTGCTGACTGCTGGCTGCACTGTACATAAATAAATAAATGCGTATTTTACGAAAAGAAATATAAATGTAAATATACTCTGTAGTAAATAATTGGTTTGCGGGTGTTATCTTCTGAATTTGATTTTGAAATTTATGTGGGCAATTAAAAGTAACAGGATAAATAATAACAAAACCGAAATGGATTTATGGTTTGGCATTAAATCGAGCTCAATGCAGAGCATAAAGTGTACTTGAGTGCTTTCGATGTATTTGTGCACTTTTGTTCATATAGATTATTTATTAAAACATAAGTCACTTGATGATAATTGCCCGTAAGCAGTTTTGAGAGCAACTTTTATGTTCTTAAATAACCCATTTTTTTCAAGAAAGGAACAGATTTTTAAAAGTAATACATATGTCTTTGAAAATAAAATATTGCTAAAAAAACAAAATGCCAAACAACAGTTGTTCAACTAAGCACAAAGTGAGCAAAGATTCTGTTTCTAAATTTTTGCCAAATTTACTTCAATACATAATGTGGTTTAGAGTAAAATGCCGTCACACAAAAAATGTCTTAATCTCAGAATGTTAGCAAACATAAAATGTTGCAAAGCATAAATCGTTGTCACTTAACTTAAATTTTCAAAAGCACCGCTATTTTGGTTACTACTTCCCTGCTTACTCTTTTGTTTGCACCGATAAATTCTGAAAACGTTTTCTAATTAAGTTAATCTTACTACTACCCACAACAGCGATCGGTTGCCACTCATCCCATTTTACCACGTTTCGACCACCCTTAGCGATACAGCTCGCAGCTGGATAACTGTTGTTTAGGATGTTCCTTTCGTCAAGAGCAATAGAAGCGCCGCTAAGGTCTGTCGCTCATTTCATTGCTGCAAGCCGGAAATTAATTTTATCTCTCAACGCAAACGAGATTGAAAAAATAATGCCACTAACCAGAGAGTATTGAGGATAATGAAAATTTTTCTAACAAAAATATGTATGTCTGCAAGTATGAACCTCATTGCGTAAATGTCTGCATGTTTATGTAACGAAATTAATTTTTCTTACGAAATTAATATTCTGTCGCCATGCAACGCAAACAATGCTGTGGCTGTGGCGTTCTCTGTGCTGTTTTTGCTTAAACATACATTTGTACGTACAATGTAGCGTGTTATAATGCATATTAACGTAAACAGAGCAACAAGAACAAAAACAATGACTATGACGTGTGACCAAACAACAAAGCAACACTTCCTGTGGCTTCAAATGCCATTAACGCATTTATATTGGCAATATCATCGTCATCAGCGTCGACAGCGTCGGCCATTCACGTTGACTAGGTAAGAGCATCCGTCGTGTCTACTGCCCACCTAAAACTCCTGCTTTCATCCATTCCCGAGCTTTGCTCTGCGGTCGATTGTGTGGGGTGCAGTGCGGCGGCAGTCAAAATAATTTGTCATGCTGTGTTGGCATAATTTGTCGCCGTTTGCAATTTGTTGCTGCCAAACATTCTTCCATTCGAGTTTGTTGTTGGGCACTTTGGCTTGACAGTGCTGTGACAGCTCGTCGCTTCTTCGTTCAACGCATATTTTTTTCGTGTATAACCGAGTAGCTAATTTGACAATTTTATTGGCACGCCCACCACTTGCTTACCTACATCCGTACATCCCTACTTCAATTTCATACTAAAAATCAGTAAAAAGTCTTAGTGACTGGAAATTATGTTGAGAGGGAGGATACAAATTTGATACACAACACAACAACAGTAAAGAAGCAAATTCTCAACAAAATACACGAGTTTCTACAAAGACAAATTACCATTTTAGCTTAAGAGGGGAATATAGGACGAGGGGCGGGTCGCGCGTATAAAAATGCACCAGCAAACAATTCATTAATTTAATTAATTAGCGGTATTAAGAAGTAGTATTTGACCAACCCAATGATAACACGCACACATGCATTCGAAGCAGCAGTAGCGTTACTCTTCTCCGACACTGCCATCTTTTCTCACCGCAAGTTTTATTATACTCCAACAGCTTTGACAGCTCTGGGGATACCTTAGTGGCTACAAGCTGAATGGTGATAATGATGAGCGCAGAGTGATAAACGGCTTGTCAAGTGCACACGTTCACACGTATGAATATCAATGTTGCGGGTAAGCCAACAGGGTGTGGTTACCACGACCGTTAAAAATTGCATAAAAATGCAAATAATCTTAGTTCTTTAAGCGCGCAAACTTCAAATATATATATACTCACAGCTACTTCAGCCCGGCTGCTGCATACTTTTCTTTTTTCTTTTTAGATGCAAAACCCAATGGGTTGAGTTTAAAATGTCCCGCAGACGGAGTTGAGGTTTGGTTTTTTTAAATCACACCAACTACCAGAGAGACTTTTTTTTTTTTTAAATATTTTTTCATAAATGTGGTGTTTCTAATTCGGTCGATTGTACCGACATCTAGAAAATATATTTACTTTTGATTATTCAACGGCACATGTCTATGTGTTTAAATGAAGCGAAAAAGTCTCTTCTTGGTCGGACAATACGGTCAATGAGGTGTGCCTGTTGCGTAAATTTCAATTTCTCCAGGGAAAAATATACTTTCAATTCGAACATGCTTACATATTTACTTATACCCGGCAGTGAAAAATACTAGTAGTTAAGTAGAGTCCAATGCAATGACGGTCACATCTTCTATATATAATATATATTTCCCCATGTAAGCAACAGATATGTTTAGGTCCATATTCTGCTACGAATTGTCAATTGTCAGCTTTATCTTGTTATATATATACTACTTCATTAGGGACCGTTGAATTTCTAATCACCGAAGGATCAAAGCGTATCTGATAAGGAAACACAGATACAGCTGCAACATACTGTGCGGTAAATTGATAGTATTTTCGTTAGTGGTGAACAGCCATCCAACTGGTATGATTTCATCTCCGGAATACCAGTTTTTAGTTATAATTTTTGTGCAAGCATCCACCTTTTTTCTACAGGGCAAATGAACCTAACGGCCGCTGTGTACTTATTGCGCAATATGTCTGCACATGAACGTGCAGATGAAATAGCAGATCGTGCTGAGATACCGCTAAAGCGAATTCTTTTTTGGGCGCGCGCGTGTGTATTTACTGCAAAATTGCGTGACGTATTGTAAGGCCAATGTTATTCATTATGCCTTGGTTAGATACCCATATACTATTGTGTGCATAAATGCATGTAAACATGCGTTTGTATATGTATTATATTATACACATTAATTACTTTCACTTGCCCTTTTTTCGTATTAATTAATTTTGAAACTTTGCGCTCGACCTCAAAATTGTGTCAGCAGGGTATGCGCATAAAAGTATGCAACATTTTTATAACTCACAAGGGTATACACTCCCGTGTCCATACACATACGTGTATTTAAAGTTTAGAAACCCTGCATGGAAAAACCTACTAGTAGGCAAAAATTTCTATTTAAATACTAGTATTTTGGAGATGAAATCATACCAGCTCGTTTTTTGTAAAAAAGTCCACCAATAACGGGAGAAACAATAATTTCCACCACCGTTTGTTGTTGTTATATCGGCACACCGCGTGCATTCTGTGCTCTATTATATCCATTGAATTGGCAAAATGATGTTGAAGCCGAGAGGTCTGCGCTGTGGTGCCTGAGAGTCTCGCTTCGATTCTTGCAGCCGGCAAACTACTACTACTACTTTTTTTTTTTTTTTTTTGGTGAAGTGAAAATTCAACGTGGCTAAATGAACTAGTATTCAACTAGCAAGAAGCTGATGCATAGTGGGACAATTGTTAGCTCGTGGATTCTTGTTGACAACCGGTATATATATACGTATGTAGATGCATATGGTAATCATAATCATTTTTTTTTTTTTTTGTTTTTGCTTTGCTTATGCTCATATCGCCTTCGTATTATGTCTCATCATAGCGTTAATTTTTTGCTGTAAAACTGAAGAGCACTAGCTCTTGAGAACGTCCAAAAAGGTGTTAAGCCATTCCTTTTCATAAATGCCTGTCTTTCAACTAAAACAACACATGTTTGGTTTGACACATGAGAAAATATATCACGAGCCGAATTAGTTTATCTAATATATTTTAGGTATGTCTGTCTTAAAGGCGGTTCACCGTAAAGCGATCAGAATTTATCACTGAGGAGTTTCCAGTTGAATCTGGCTTTCCTCTAGGTAGCTCCCTCGGATGTATTGGCCTTCGCTGCCTAGCGCATTGCATTTGGGATACGGCAACTAGAAAGATCTAACATAAATGTTTGCTCAGCGGTTCCCTACAAAAAATTTGAACAAAATCCATAATGAACTTTGCGTGTTGCTTTATTATCAAAGTTACATATTTGCGTTTTGAGGACAACATATTTAACTTAACGGTAAATGTGATTATTTACTGACTAACCGTAAATCAACTTAACCAGGCTGTATCTGTGATGAGCTAAACAAGTTAGGAATCTATGCTTTTTCTCTCCTTCCATTCGCACACAGAAAGCACACACACACATTTGTATATAACATCTTTAGGGGAATATGGGAATATGAGCTCGAACGGGAAGTTCCAATTACCAACGACGCAACTCTGCTAATAACGACTAACGTGCCAAGACCAGATTGGCTATAGAATGGTGACGACAGGAGCGTGTGGAGCACACTAGTCTTTGGAGATTCGAATAGTTAAGTAGACGGCAAACGAAGTTATTCAGCTGGTCATAGCTGACCTCGCTTGAGCGGAGCAAAAGGCGAGTAGTAAGCAGGAGTCTGGCCGTTTGCGCTGTAGCCAAAGTAATTAATGCGTCAGAATGCGATTTCGATTTGGCTTCGTTTTGATGCGGTTTTTGCGTTTCTTGTAGCGTGTTGCTGGTGACACCGTAAATTTGTGTTGTTGTTGTTGCTGTTGTGCTGTTGCGGAAGGCGGTGGCGGTAGTTGCTCTTGGTGGTGATGGAGATGGTGTTTGTGCTGTTGCTGTTGCTGCTGGTCATCAAAGTCATTTGCAGTGGGACCAATGACGTTAATTGGTTGTGTTGTGGTGACCAGTTGCTGTTGTTGCTGACCTAAAATCCCAAATGGCTTTTGTTGGGAGGTGTAACGGTGCTGTTGCAATTGTCGATATGGGCGCATTTTGAGACGCGTCACTGCCGTTGCTGACGTCGGTTGACTGACTGCAAAAGCTGCTGCGCCATGGCCTGTAGTCGGCTGGAAACTAACTGGATTAACACCTTCGTCAACTGCTTCGAAGTAGTTGTGTTTGTAGTTCTTGTTGTTGCTATTGTATGTGAGTTTTATGTCGTCGTTATCGTCGTAGTCATTCGAGCTGAAGATGACAGCAGCAGCTGTTGAGGGGAGGGTGGAAGTGGTTGGCCGATTTGAAAAGAACAGTGATACATCATCATCGCTGTCGTCTTCGTCTTCATTGTTCTCGTTGTTTTTGCTATCGTTCGGCTCGTCATCTGCGTAGCCTTCGTTGTCTTCGTCCGATGCTGCTGTGCTATATATGTCATTGTTGTTGTTGTTGTAATGATGTTGCTTCTTGCTTTTGTATTGCGCGAGCTGTTGATAGTAGTTGTAATTGTTGTTGTAGTTGCTGTTGCTGTTGCTGTTGCTACCGGCCAACGGGGGGCGCAGCATTTGCGCTTGCGGCCTTGCCTTTGGTGGCGTAAAGTAATTTACGCCATGGAATTGATGTTGTTGCTGTTGTTGTTGTCGCATAAGTTGCAATTTTTGTTGTTGCTGTCTCTGTTGCGACACGGTTAATGGAAATGCGACAGCAGCGTCGTCAGTTTCGCCTACCACCCCCACACCACGATTTTTCTTCTTGGGTCGCAAATGTGTTGTTGCTGTTGTTATTGGATATTTACCGTTGGCATATGCACGTTGCAAATCGGCCAAAAAGTCATCAGCCAAGAGTGTGTTCGTCTCACTTATCCCGACACCAGCACCTCCGCCGCCAGCATCATCCTCCTCATCGCTCACCCCACCAGCCCCACCACCTGCTGCTGCCGCCGCTGCTGCTGCCAAAGCGCTCATTAGTTCCATATGTTGCATTAGTTGCTGTGTTCCGTCAGCCAAAGGCATCATACTGACCGTCGCATGGCTTTGTTGCTTATTATCTGTACCGTTGTCTCCGTCTGCTGCCACCCCACCAGTATAAGCATCACTGTTGCCAAACAAAGCTGGTCCATAGTTGGCTATTGGCATTGGTTGCGGCGCATCGGGTGTATACAACAGGTGGTCAGGCATATCGCCAGCGTGAAACTCATCGCCATGTGGTCCCATATCGAGGTGATTATGTGTCATCCTCATGGGAGGATAAGGTGCTGGTGGTGGCGGTAAAGGTGGCGTTGACTTTACTGCCCTTCGGCTATGTTTTACTGACTGATATGTTGCTGGGCTGTACTGTACTGGCAGGTAGGGCTGTTGGTGGAACGACTTGTAAGGATTATGGTAATGCTGATGCGACATGTGGTGGTGGTGATGGTATTTGTGGCGATTGTGTTGCTGCGGTGGTTTCTGTGTTTTATGCTTCCGCACCAACTCCGGCATTCGCACTTTAATGTGCACACTGCACGAACCAAAGTCAGAACGAAATTAAAAATAAAAAATAAAAACTTATTAATATTAACTCAGTGGTTCTCTGCTCTTAGAATATTAGTAAGTAGGTTTCAAATGGCAAATTGAATGGCCACATGGTGGCAATTCTAGTTAAAATTTTGTAAAGCTCAAAATTTTCGCTGGAAATTGAGTTTTTAATGCATTGCTAATTTTCAATTTTGAAATACGTGGCAACCGTCGGTATTTCAACATGGAGGAATGTATGTCAATGTATATGTATTCACCTCAATTTTCCCTGGCATTAATTTAAAAATTTTTCCTTCACAGTAAGTCTTCACAAACAGCAAAGCTTCGACATGTGATCTTTGACTGTTGGTGCACATGCATTTTTTTTTATCAATTGACATATATTTACAATAACAACATTATATTTACAATAACAAAAGTTGGTAACTCTTTTAAAAAATATTCGTAAAAGTTCTCGCTCAGTTGAGGTCTATTATGTTGCCTAATTTTTCAGTCCAAAATACTCACTGTTCATCGTCATCGGCTGCGCGGCACCAGCCCACATTCAACACGAATAACACACAGGCGAGCGTCAGCCACGCGTAACGCTCTGGCATGCTGCCACGCTTTAAACCGTTAAATATAGTTTCGGACTACACTCTCCTATTTCATACAACCCAATACTATCCTTTGTCCTTTGTGTGCCTCCTTTCTCCACTTTATATTTACTTATTAGTCTGACTGTAGTGAGTTTATGTATGCGTAGTTATCCTTAGCTTCCTTGCGACTGCGTTCGTACATTCATTTTTTACTAATGGCGATTTCGCAACGCTCGCACTTACTTTTATTTATGAGCATTTCCCCAGCATCAGCTGAACTCTCCCTTCCACCAGCGAATAAATATAATAATATTGAAAGCCTTTCTTTCTGTAGCGGCTCATCTTCTAGCAACCAACCAACCAACCAACCAACCAACCAACCAAACGTCCATTCATCGTCTAATGTTTCAATAAAATATTTTGTTGTTGCTTTTGCTGTTGCAACGTGAATTTGCTTATGCGTTGTTGCTGCAGGCATCTTATGTGGTGTATTGCTCCATTTCATAAGATCAAATTTCGTTCATTGCTCATGTCTCCGTTGATGAATCCCAAAGTGAATGCACTCTATGGCCGCGGTACGGCGCGATTGTTGACTCACTGTGCATGGTCGGTCAATACACAGCGAGAAAAAGTCGTTGCTTGCAGGAGAACTCGTAAAGTAGATTAATATAATTATGACGCCGTTAAACTTTTTCATATTGTCTTACGAGACAATCGAATGCATTCGATAAAAAATTCTATTTTAAGTTTAAGCTATATCACTCTCGCATGGAGCAAGCTTCTACTTATTTATTTATATACTTTTCAAATTTTGCTTTTTCAAGAAAACATTAACAAAATATTTGACCGTCCTTTATAGTCACTGAATTAAACCAACTTTTTACTTCTTATTTAGATTATCATAAACATGGTTTGGGTCTTCCCCAATTCGGAATAGGGGCGTGACTAAAATCCTTCTCAGAATTTCTACCGATTTTGATAAAACTGTGTGTCTGTGTGTGTGTCCAAAGGAATTCTATAAAGTTAAAATGTAAAAATAAGCAGAGTTGCCACCTATATTAAAATCGTTTAAGTATAAGAATCTTCTACAAGTGTGTGCCCATGCATTCAACAAATTTTAACAAAATTTTATAGGTACTCAATCAGACTTAAGCATGATTTGGATTTACCACTCGACAGAACTTGCACCTATCTTAATATTTCGATATAAATGCAACCGTCAACATGTTTGAAAAATATATTTTACGACCAGGCGGGAAGAATGCACCTTCGAATCTGAAGCTGCCAAAATTCATTGAGCTGATTGCATAATGGAGCATTAAAACTCGTTCGGGGAACTTGACGGGGATTGCTGTGGGAAGTGTTTCCCATTGATGATTGCCATTGCATTGCTAAAAATTTTTAATCAAATATTCCAATAAAATTAAAAAAATTGATGTGATTAAACTTTTTTTTATATTTGATTGGGTATAGCGAAACAATCTAGTAAAAAATATTTTAGTTTTGAAATAAGTGGCGACTTATAGCAAAAAAAAAAAAAATATTAGTCAAAAATTTTAGTAAATTTTTGTGCTTGTGTATTCTTGTTTTTATAAATCGTAAAACAAATATAAGTTTCGCTTATGTTTCTTACCTTACTATTCGATCATTCGCTTGTACATTGATTGTGCTTTAGCTCATATTACTGTGCACTACATTCGTACACTGTGATATGCCAACAAAATGCTCTTATTTTTCTTTTAATTATTGTTTTAAACTCCGCATCCCATTTCCATTTGCTCTGAAGCAAGGCTGATTTATTTATATGTAAGTATATATCAATACATATTCACACTGCAATAATAAATGTAGGCTTTTCTTCACTTTCGAACTCATCGGATATGCGAAGCCTCGTCAGGCAGTGAGTGGTTTAATCAACTTTATCGACGTCCAAATGAAGGTCACAATGTCTGCAGTTAGATTGACATTATTGTGGCTTTGAAAAGGCTTTTTATCTATTTTTTTCTAGGATTTTCTTTGTGTAAAATTGAAAGTATAAAAGTGACTATGGTATAATCTATTATCACTCACCTGGGCTATTAAGAAGAATAATCTTTTATGAGCAACAACCAAATAAATCCCCACTCAACTTTTGTCTCATCTGTTGAGTTGCTTCCTGCCTTTCGTTGCAGTGTCGATCTGAAGCACTTAACTGTAAACGCTTTTCAATGAATTTTGTAAATAGTATGCACTTTTGTCCTTCATTTTTGCTGTTTTTCCCCATTTAAAATTGACGCCTGTCGCAGATGATAGGAAAAAGATTTTCCGTAGAAATGGGTTGGCTGCCTGTGCGGATTTGGAGTTTTTCTTGTTGTGCTGCTAAAGCTAAATTAAAAGCTGTATTTATCGGAAGAGTATATGATAAGTGAAACCAGTCACAGAGCAGAGAAGCGTGAGCAAGAGCTTCATGGGATACAGTATACCAGAGATGGTCGTTAGTTGAGGTCATTTCATTTTGTTAATATGAAAAATAAGTTTAAAGAAATGATTTTTTTTTCGTCAATGCATGTTAAAATTAATGTTAATATTAACATGGCTGCTTGGTAAGCTATTAGCAGCACACTTAAATGTAAACGTTTAACATGCTCTGTTCACGACTTAACAGCTTTAACGACACCATTTCCGAATGTTCCCACCGACGCGATTAAAAATGTTGGATGTTAGATGTTACGATTCTACCTCGCATTGCGCATACATATGTAGAAGTCAAAGGCAATGTAAGGGCTTAACAAAATGGCGGGGTTATGCTACTGTCCCTTCATAATGTTGAGATGATAAAGAAAAGGCGAATTCTCTTGCTATCTTAAGACACATTCCGTCGCCGGAGGATATTATGAAATTCGTAAAAGTCACTGGACGATCGTGTACCCAAAGTGCTTTTGTAATATGAACGAAAACGGAAGCCACCAGTCGACGCATGTGACGTATGTGCATTTAAACAAAGGAGCCATATCAATGACAATGACTTCACTGCCATAATTTGTCTTTGTTGGACTATTACATACAGTGAAACGCTGTTTACGCGACCGTATAAAGTTGAGTCACAAAATTTTTTTTGTTGTTTTAACGCAACCGTTAAGTAAATTTTTGCTTAATCAAAAACTGATAGTGAAATGCCGAGCTAATCAGTAAAAATTTTATTTAGTCACGCCAATACGGCACATTTTGCCTTTCCCATTAAGTTTGGCTTAAGTCGAGTGCTAACATACTTTTCGTATCTCGAATATTGTTCCTATAACTTTCTTCGCTTTTTTTATAAAGATGTATCTGGATGCACCGTGCGATAATCAACAAGGGGTCCAGCGGTTGCTCTCCCCTATATTTTCTATTCTCTTACGTGATCTTGCAATTTCTGTTGTGCCTTCATTTTCCTATTTAAAAAAACAATCGCGGTCAACCACACCAGAACGTAAAATAGAGTTTAATGCACTCTTTTCTACCTTCTTATTTGACGGTGTAACTAACTCTTATAATTGGAACCATTTAACTGTCTTTGAAGAATGCTCGTAATACAAAATTACCAAAGAAAAATTGTGAGAAAAAGCTGTGGGCTTATTGAAGAAGAAGAGAGGCGTGAAGATCCACAAGTCATGATTATTAATATTTATATGTACATAGTATGTACATAGTATATGTTCTCCTAGTTGTTGTTGCAGTCAGCTTATTTCGATTTCTGTTTTTTCGATTTGTGGCTCTGCCCTAAAAGTTAATGAGCGAATAATTTTAAATTTTTAAATTTATTTTTTTTAATATTAATTTCACGTTTTATTTGTTTAGAAAAAAATATTTGATGAGGTTCTTTCATTTTGAGGTTAACTCGAAATTAGGTTGAGAAAGGGTTAGGTATAGGTAGGTATAGGTATAGGTATCAACAGTATAAAAATTGCGAGTCATAGTAATCACAACTGAAAACTAGTTTTGCATCGGAAATCTCGTATACTTCAGCTTGAGAAATTTTTAGAAATTGGAGGTCAAAATTGGTTTCCACTGTTGGCTACGATTGGCGACAATTTCGGGTGTCAACTTCAGAATTGTATAAAGTGTTTATGGCAGATGCTGAACTGACCTTTTTATGGCTTTGTAATCTATTTCCTCTGCCTAAACCACAGACGTCACGATACAAATGTTATTGTATTTCATAAACGGTAAGAAAGAGTATACGAGTATGTATTTTACTAGCAATATGAGCTCGACATAGCGATGTCATGCAGGTGGTGTGTATTACTTTGCTGTGCTGCCGGAATCGCTGGTGCATTTGACGCTGTGTCGCTTTGCCATTGTCTCGCTTGATGCGCGATTTTTTTTTGTTTGCTTACCCAGGTGCTCATCTTTTGTTCTGGTTCGGTGCTTCAACGT